TATTTCGGGTCGGGTCGAGTTTCTAATTCATATATTCGGGTCGGGTCGAGTATGGTGAAACTTTATTTTGGTCGGGTCGGGTCTCGGGTGGAGGTTTCCTTGTTCTCGGGTCGGGTCGAGTGGACCAAAAACCCGACTCAACCCGACCCATGACCATCCCTAATTGGGATAATTTTAACTTATGATGTTTATTAGTATGATTTTTATAATTTATAGAAATGAATAATCAATCAATAAAATGAAATTTTAATATTTTTATAATTTTTATAATATATTTCTACATGTAAGTTATAAAAAAAAACTAAAATTAACGAAAAAAATATAAGAAGAGCAATTCTGTCATTTTACATTACTGAAATCAAATTCATCTGACATTTCTGTGAACCAAATAGAATATGGAATTGGATTCCAATTCAATTTTCTGCCAACCAAACATATTTCAGATTCAGATTCCAATTCCTACAGATTCTAATTCCTTTACAGATTCTAATTCCTTTACAGATTCTAATTTCTTCATAAACATTCAAGCGAACCAAACGCCACCTTATTATAATGAAGGATTCGTTGTGTGCGGTAAGTAAGGCATGTAATTGACTTATCATTAGGGGTGTTTGCTGTCGGTTTGGATCGGTTTTTGGCTAAAAATTCATCCGATCCGAAATTATAAATGTTTGCGGTTTGGATCGGTTTGGATGTTTCTAAAAAAAATCCGATCTGATCCGATCCAATTAAGTGCGGTTTAATTCGGTTTGGATTTGTGCGGTTCGGTTTGGCAAAAACCTTTCCTCATTGTACTATCGTTTAGCTTCCTCCAGTTTTGAGATTGAAGTCGAAAGAAAAACAGGATTACTCAAATTTTCTTGATTCGATTCCAGTTCCCTTTTCATGGTTTCATTGTTGTAACCAAAACTTGCCATTTGAAATGAAGAAAAGATATTTCTATTTATATAAATATGATTACAGAATGACTTTAAATATTATAATATGATAGCATATATTCTCTAAACAAACATATTATTACAATACCAATACTGATGCATAAAATTAAATATGAAAGGATGGAGAACGGAAAAGGAACGAACACCCAATGTTTGTATTATCAAAGAAAGCAAAAGGAAAAAAAATTAAAAACTAGGAGCCCAACCAGGTTCGAACTGGTGACCTCTTGATCTGCAGTCAGATGCTCTACCACTAAGCTATGGACATGTTTGTTTTAAACTTGTAAATTAACTATTATATTTTATCTGTTTGGTTTGTTTGGATCGGTTTCAGATTTTCAAACCGAAACCGAACTGAACCAATCGATTTTTTTAAAAAAAAACAAACATACTAAATCGGTTTTGATTTTTTTCGATTTTCGGTTTTTTGGATCGGTTTTTGATTATTTTTTTAGATCGGATTAGATCTGAACACCTCTATTTATCATCCAAAATCAAAGAATATTGGGTAATGTTCCTAAGTGCATCCCTTATTTTATACCATGGTCTATAGGCTCCCCCCTCTACCTATTTTTATCTTTTATTATCATTTTATAGTTATAATTTATGATTGTTTATTTCAACAATATCACCTTTATAGTTAAAACTCAAACTCTTTTCTTCATATAATTTACTTTATTACTACATCCAACTAATTTCATTAATTCCTCTCCTCTAATATACACCTTTTAATACATAAATTTTAAATTTATCTCTCATTTTAATAATCTGGAATGATTATATGATAATATCTGTTTAAATATTTTTTTAATCTATTAACAATGCACACACATTCTACTGACACAATTGTTCGAACCTGATGTCTTTAGAGAGAATCCTCTCCTCTATACACCTTATATAAAAGTTTTAAATTTATTTTTTAATAATTTTGAATGATTATAAGATAATATTTGTTCAAATATTTTCTTAACCTATTGACAACGTATATACACCCTACCACTGGCGGATCCAGAAATATTTTTTCAGGATTGGCACATATCTACTAATAACAAAAAGTTCTCTTATGGGGTGAACACAAATGAAATTTCTGGACGGGTACCTTCAGTAAAATAAACAACTCACATAAAGAAATTTGGATTTCAGGGTGGACACGTGCCCATCCTGAACAATACATGCATCCACTACTGTACCCTACAGACGTAACATCTCAAACTTGAAATCTCTAAAAATAATAATCTTTTTCTTTATGATTCAAGCGGCTCAATGAATTCAAAATTTAAATTTATCTATATATAATTGTTATGAAATGTGAGGGGGGGGGGGACTAGCTTGGGAGAGAATGTTTGGTAGCAACTCTGAGCAAGTTTGGCAGTGAAATTACAACCGACCCCTTCCAATATTTTATTTCATCAATAAAGAAGAGAGAAAGAGGTATATAGATTCAGTATCCTCATATACCATTGAGATGAGGAAGGGCATGTCAGTGTGATTAGTGTGATTGGTATATGAAGTTTATTGCTATAAAGTGATTGTATGTGACATTCTATTAGCAATGAAACTAATGCTTCATTTTAAACTCATTAATAAATGAAAATTTAGATATTAAACATATCATTAATATTTAGTACAAATATGTATTTGATTTCAAACCGATCAAGTGGTTTCAGTAGTAAAAGAGAATGTTGTTTTCCTTAGATGTCTTGAGTCAGAACAGTTGCATCTACAAGGTGTGTGCGTGTTGTCAATTGGTTAAGAAAATTATAAACATATAATCCATACCCGATTTAACCTCATTTTGATCATAAAAAGTTTATAGGTAAACTACTTCAAATATCATTGAACTTTAGGTGGTGTATCATTTATATCATTAAATTTTCAATTGCTCTAATTATATCATTGAACTTTGATTTTTGATTTTTGACTTTTGGGGTGTTAAAATTTAATGACACAACGACATGGGTGAATCTTCTTGTCACTGTAATAACGTGGATAAAACGACATTTTGTCGTTACTATTGATGCTCAGAACGATATCGTTTTAAGCACTAAACTTTTAGGGGTGAAATGATTTTTCCAATAAACTTTAAAAAGATTCAATAACCTAGGTATAAACATGTACAACTTATCATGTGCAATAATTGTAAACCTTGATGCTTTGTAATGAATTGTTCCTTGTTGATCTTCTCTTCTTCTTTCTCTCCGTTTCGTTTTAAGCACATGTTTTTGGTTGTGAGAGTAATTTAATTCTCCGTTTCCTTTGACCATCACTTCAAGCGATTCGATAGTTAACGGCAGATGAGACGATGTAAATACGGAGAACAACAAGGACAATTACGGCGAATATCGGTCGCTTTCTTGTTCCTCCTATGAATACCAAGGGAGGAGCACCACCGAGGAAGAAGAAGAAGACTTGGCTAATTGCTTGATCCTCTTGGCTCAAGGCCAATTGAGAGATCCGGCCGCCAAGTTATTACAACTCGACAACCACCACCAACAGCTACAGCTACAAGATTCCACGACCGTTTATGAGTGCAAGACGTCTAACCGGACGTTCCCCTTGTTCCAAGCCCTCGGCGGTCATCGTGCTAGTCATAAGAAACCGAAGACTACGGTAACGACGACGATAGGATTATTGGAGGAAAAAGGACAACAATTCATGAAGACTAACAATATTTCGTCTCTTTCCCTTCGATTGAATAACACCTACAACAAAAACATGAAGCCTAACAAGGTTCATGAATGCTTCATTTGCGGATCGGAGTTCACATCGGGACAAGCCTTGGGAGGGTACATGAGAAGACACATGGGGTCAATAGGTGGTAATGGTCTTTTATCCAATTTTTTTATTATTTAAGTTTCCAAATTACAAGTAAGTGTGAAAATTCAAAAAATTTCTATGCGCTATTTACAAGGTCTAATTAGGAATTTCATCTCTTAACTCTTTTTTATTTAAACCTAAGTACGACAATATTTTTCTATTTCTTCCACGATAATTTCTTTTTAAACCTTTTGTTCTTCGTGCATCGCGGTCAATATCTTACGTTTTTATCCAAAAATCATTCAAAGAATCAATACTTACATTTCAAGCACTCGTTGATCAAATTTTACTGATCTAACACCTATTTGTTGACATGGACAGAAGGTGCAGATTATCAAGCACGTTTTTCTTAGGTTTTCGTCCGAGCTGATGCCATGCGACAAAAGTACGATTCACCATCTGTGCCTTCTATAAATAACCCTCAACCGTTCATCGATCCCTTTTAATTACCACCTACTGCTTCCCCTATAAATACCCCATATAAAATAAATATAATATAATAAAAAATAATTTTACCTGAACTATAACAAAATCTACTTAACTTGATAGAAGGAAGAATGTGAAAGTAATTTTTGTGTGAGTGATGTTTGCATTCGGGGGTATTTATAGGGGAGAATGATGGGTGAGTCACCAAACCTCGAGTAATAATGGAGTACCCAATAATTCAAGGTGAATACGTGTCAAGTTTCCCACGAAGACGCGAATAATTAACTTTTAATGTGTTTTTTCTAGACATCGTTAAGAATTATAGGAGGAAGACTCCACATTGAAGATCGATTCTTATTTCAAAATTTGATCTTCATACTTTATAAAACACATGAACTCGAACTTATTGGTTTTTATTAATTCTTCTATATATTAATTGTTGAGTATTAATTTCTGACCCAACAATTTAACAATAAAGTTTATTAGAGTTATCTAATTGACCAATATATTGATCTTTAGAAAGTAGAGGGACTAATTTTATAATTAATCCCTATGTTTATAATGATTGATTTTTCGTAACATACTTTTTTTTCTAGATAATTAATTTACCCTTCATTATTTTGGTAAATAACTTATTATTTTTCCCATTTTGGAAATTATATAATTATATTAATAAATACTAAATCCACTTGGATATTTTGAAAAATTAAATGATTTATTACCATATATGTTTAACCAGCAGTTAACGGTACAGTGTAACAATGAGGCATAAAGTACAATAATTTATTTATTTATTTATTTTTACTCAGAAAACCCCAAAATAAAATGGTTGAAATTTCTTGCAATTGAAGGTACCCTTTGTTTCTTCTCCCTCAATCAATAATTACTTTGTTCTTCCATTTCATTTCTTCCTTCAACAACGAAAACCCCCTTTTTTTGTTCTCCACCTCGAGAAGTTTCGTAATGAGTCGTGAAACTTCTTTAACTTTAGCTCCGGTACCGACTTCCGGCCCGGCGGCTAAGAATACTGGAGGTTCGGGGACGGCTTTAGCTCCTGGGTTTCGATTCCACCCGACAGATGAAGAGTTGGTTAGCTATTACTTGAAAAGAAAGGTTTCCAGCAAGCCCGTCAGGTTCAACGCCATTGCTGTGGTCGATATTTACAGGCATGAGCCTTGGGAACTCTCAGGTATAGTTCATTTTGGATAGACTGTTGAAATTCGCTCAAGGTTTTAGAGGCTAAATTTGAATCTAATTCTTAATTTCTGTTTTTTTTTAAATAGAAGCACTATCTGTTTTGGGTTTTTTTAGGAGAACTTTGCTATTATTCTTATGCTGCTTTGGAATGGGTTTACCGTGTGGATTACGAGCTATGGTGCTAAAGTTTCTTGTCTGCGATTGTTTTTCAGACAAGTCGAAGTTGAAAACGAGAGACCAAGAGTGGTATTTTTTCAGTTTATTGGACAGGAAGTATGGGAATGGAGCTAGAATGAACAGGGCTACGAGCCAAGGGTACTGGAAGGCGACGGGGAAAGATCGAGAAGTCCGACACAACAAAAAGCTTATGGCGATGAAAAAGACGCTCGTATTTCATAGCGGGAGAGCCCCAGACGGTGTGCGAACCAATTGGGTTATGCACGAGTATAGACTTGTCGAAGAAGAATTAGAAAGAATTGGGGCATTGCAGGTTAGAGACGATACAAACTAATCTCCGTAGTGATTATGGTTCGTTATCTATGGCTGTGTTTATTCGATATTGCGGCCTACACTTTTGTGCATGTTAAGAGATTGCAGCACATTTCAGATAGATTTAGGATGAGGAGAGTTATCGAATTTTATCATGAAAGACTTTGATAATGATTCGTTATCTATGGTTGTGTTTATTTGATATTACAGCCTACACTTTTATGCATATTAAGAGATTGCAGCACATTTCAGATAGATTTTGGATGACGAGAGTTATCAAATTTTATCACGAAATACTTGGTACATTACGATTTGGATGATGGATGAGTCCGCATTGGTCTGATTATACTGAAGAACTGACGTACTTGATAATCGAGAGACGTTTTTCTGTATGGGAAAAGTATGAAATATGGAATAAGATGAAAACAAATATGAGTTTGAATTGTTTGTATATGTAGTTTGCTTATGTTTCATTGCTGAATGGGATGGCAGAAAATAAATAGTAAAATGTGATTCCAGATACCACATTTATGATGCTATCATTTGATACGGTGGATAATATATTCGCATATAGCTCGAGTTAATTAAGATTCATACCTTACTCTACAGAATCCATTAGTACAATTTTGGGAACTAATGTTATATGTATTGTTTCTTTTCGTTTTCTTTTTTTCTTTTTCTCTCTATCTTTCGAGTGGAGAAGGGGTATGTGCTATGTAGGGTATTCCATAAGAACAATATAGGACCACCCAGTGGAAACCGATATGCACCCTTTATTGAGTCGGAATGGGATGATGAATCGGCAGCTTTGGTTCCGGGACTAGATGCCGGGGATGATGGTGTAGCTGGAAATGATCCGACTGCTAGCAATAATGTGGTAACTGCTGAGAAGGCTGTGAATGAAAGTAATGATGTTCAAAGGATTGGTTTTGAGCAGGTTTGTGCTTTATTGTTTTCTCAAAAAATTCTTGAACAATGGTGAACAAGATTCTGAGATGGCCTATTGAGTTCCCAACTACAGTATTAATTATAAATGTATATATCGTAGTTTTATAATTGCGGTTTATAGTTTGTCCTGAACTGGTGCGAACTTTCAGTAAGTTTTGAGGTAGGAGTTACCAGGATTGCTCTTTCTTTTGGTGCCTTCCTAGAGAAATTAGAGTTCCGACTTCCCTAGCAATCCTCTTGACTAGCTAGGATGGGATGCAATACTAGGTACGGTAGCCTTTGTGCGATCGAATTAGTCACTTCCTTTTCTAGAATTTGGATGAGCATCCGTCTGCACTCCTATGTTAGAGAAATCGTTCTGTTTTGATAGACACAAGGCTGTACGGTGTGACAGACTGCAGATTATTTACAGATCGTATATGATTGTATTAGTTAATCGATTAAAGTCTCAATAGTTCTTCCTCTTCAGTTTCATTCCGATGTGTTTTTGATGCATTGTACGGAGCGTAATTGATTGCCTGCACTTGTTTCACGTATACATCATATTCTAGTTTCGAAATTCGACAAAACAAATCGTTTTTTGTACTTTGTTCTTCTACTAATATGTATGTTCTTTTTTCTTTTTCCCCCTTCTTGTACTGATGATATATGCAACAGAATGTAGAATTCAGACCCTAATGGTGCAAGAACTATTGATAGCTAGACACCATTGATTTAGTTTTATTTTCGAGTGGTTCTGATTTTCGTTTGAGTTCTTTCTTCCCTGTTTATTTGTAAGTTGGAAAATATAGTTGTATTATCAACAAGTCGTTGGCCTCGTCTTCTGAAGTCTCGGTTTGTAGGAGACTCGATATGCTGGTGAGGATGCTCTGCCTGTTGATGAGGTTCCTAGAGACTCGCCAAATGAGAGAGCAGATTACTGTATTCCATTGCCTCCACGCAAGGTCGAGGGAGCCGATGATTGCCCTCCGGTATGTGTTCTCAATAGAGAAGCACCCTTACCTCTTCTCCAGTACAAGAGAAGACGGAACAATGATTCGGCTCCCGACGATACAAATGCTTCCGAGAATTCAACTCGAACAACTCAGGATCGTTGCTCATCGACTACGACGACAGCAGCGACGGTCACGATGTCATCCGCGACAACAACTGCAATTTCTGCACTCCTGGAATTCTCGTTGATGGAGTCTCTGGAACCCAGACAGAAAAGTCCCCGTGTTCCTCCACCGGTATTCAACACTACTAATCTGGATTCGGTGGTGCCTCCTGGCTGCATGAAGCTCATCAACGAATTGCAGAACGAGATCCATAAGATCTCGGTAGAGAGGGAGACGTTGAAGCTCGAAATGATGAGTGCTCAAGCAATGATAAACATCCTCCAGTCGAGAATCGATTACCTTAGCAAGGAGAATGAGGGCCTGAAGAGGAGCAACCGTGAGGGGTAGGTACTTGTGTTGTCCTTAGATTTTCGTATTCCATGTATGAATAAAATTGTGATGACATTAGATTTGAGTTTGTTTGTTATTGTCGTTGAACAATTGTTGTAGCTTTCATTTTCCTGCTTATGAAAACTCAACCCATTTTATTTCATTTCACGACTTTATTTAAAATTCGAATATCCGACTTTGTTTAAAAAAAATCTAATATTTCATCTCACTGGTCTGATTCATTCTTGGTGACTTGAATTCGATTTTTTTGTGGGTTCGAATCTAATTTTATACCAACTTAAGTTGTCACATGTTTGAACAATAGTTCGATTAATAATTTAAGACTTATACCACAAATAAGTAGTTAAAGTATATCATCGTTTTCATTTAAGTACTAAAAGTAATTTTCGGTTGAAATAAGTACTTAAAGTTATCTTTTTGATCAAAATAAATATATCAAGTATTCAATCATTTTCATATAAGTTCTAGAAAAGTGCACGAGCGGAGTAACCTCGGTAGTAAATGAATTGTCGTTATTCCTTGAGGTCCCGAGTTCGAGCACCAAGAATGCTAGGGGTGTGAGTGTTTAATATCAAATTGTTGAGAGTTATCTTTAAACAAATAATATCTTATACTTACTCCAAATTAATAAAAAAATTCTAAAAAAGTTTATACGTGGTATTAATTAAAAAATATTTTATGTACTTAAATGAAAAAAGTTGAATACTTTAGATACCTATTTTGATAAAAAAAAATACTTTTAAGTGCTTATATGAAAAAATGACATACTTTAATAGTAATCCTTATTATACATATTCGAATATTTTGTAACGCTAACCTTAAAAGGAGAAATCTAAGTAGTACTTAAATGGGCCCAGCCCAATTCTAAACGGCGCATTGTTTATTCATTTATTTATTCTTTAATTTTAAACGACGCATAATATATGGAATAAAATCTAGAGTTAATTTCACTTTATATCCTCAAATTATGACTTTTTATTTTAAATTGATCCTTAAACTTTTGAATATTCTAATTTTATCCCCAAACTATGACTTTCACTCTAAATCAGTCCTTAAAATTTTGAACATTCCAATTTCATCTCCATGCTATGACCCTCATTCTAAATTGGTCTCTAAACTTTTGAATCTTTCAGTTTCAACCTTAAAGTCATCCAAATATGTAATTACTTTCAAGTATAGTTTAACCTAAATTTTATTTTATTTCAAACATATAATAATATAACCTAGTCTAACGATTTTATCAATAAAGGAGGTGATTAGTATATACGTATAGTTTGGGATGAAATTGAAATATTCAAAACATTGGGACCAATTTAGAATGAAGATCATAGTATGAGGGTGAAAATGAAATGTTTAAAAATTTGAGGACTAATCTAGAAAGATAATCTTAGTATAGGGATTAAATTAAAACATTTAAAATTTTATGGACTGATTTAGAATTACAAACGGTTTAGTAATTATAGAAAATAAAAGAATTCTAACAAATTCTGAAAGATATATGATACTACTATATGTAAAGGTTAAATTATTAAAAACTATTTATTTATGTAGAAAATTTCGAATACAACGACTTCTGTATGTCTTTGTGATATTGAATAGATACCAATAGAATTGATTCGAGTGGTAAACAGTTTGATATCGCTTAAGCAAGTTTTTAAGTTCAAAAGGTTTATGGACTAATTTAGAATTAAGGTCATAGTTTGGGGATAAAATTGAAATATTCAAAAGTTTGAGGATTAATTTAAAATGATAGTCATAGTTTAAGGATGAAATTAAAATATTTAAAAGTTTAAGGATCAATTTGAAATTAGAGTCACACTTTTAAGATATATGATGCAGTTAACTCTAAATGTAATCGTAATAATTAGAAAAAATAATCATAATCATTTAATTTAGTATAATAATTATTTATAAAAAATAATAATTATTGTTTTTCATAAAACTAAATCCTAACAGAAGTAGATATTTTGCTTTAAAAATCCCACTCAAACAATAACCTCTCTTCACATATTCTCCCGCCACTAAACAACCCTTTCTTCTACCTCCTATGTCTTCTTCTCCCTTGCACTTCCAACAACAAAAAACAAGGTAAATCTTTCAAAACCCTAAACTTTATTCGAAAAGTGTTCTTTTTTCCCTATTGGGTCATGGGATTTGCAGTTGTTTCATCAATCTGCTAATATTTGATCATTTTTTCTCTATTCTGTCTAACCCTCTATGTTTATCCGCTACCGCTATTTGGAACCCTCACTTTCTGGGAACTTAGCAGTTTTCTCTGTCCTAAATGATGTTGCTTTAATTAATGAATCACCCCTTTACTGGAGCCTTTGTTTACTGTTTGCTAGTTTGGGTTTCTTTGGTTCAATAAGACATGTAAGATGCTTGAGACTTCAGTTTTCATTTTAATTCAAGTATTTTAGTTCTTTCTTTGGACCAGCTAATATGTAACTTTCTTTCGATGAATCATGATTTTGTTCTTTTTGTTTCTGTTGGCATTTGATGTTTTTTGGGGATGTTTAAGGTTCACTTTTGAATTGATTGTTTTCGGTTTGGATTTGTTGTCATCAAATGGAAAGCTTCTAAGGAATTAATTTAAGATGATACAGTTTCGGTTAAGCATTTAGTCGATGATAGGATCATGTATACCTTAGCTGGTTTTAGAGCCCTTCAATATATGCAAGGGATCTGGTTTTATGCCGATGGTTGAAGTTTAGATTTTCGTTGAAAGATTGTTCTGGTTTTGTGAATGAAAATTATTTTGATGGTTTTAGATGGTCAAAGTTTAGATCTCGGAGGAGATGTATAATCAGGTTTTCGGAGCACTTTTATGTGTTATTGTTATTTGATATCCAGCAAATTTCTTTTGACCCTTGTTGTGAGGACTTGCTAATGTGGTCTTTATTCTTTATAATCGAAGTTACATAAGTTAAAATTTGAAAGATTTTGGGATAAATTGAAACATTTGGTGTAATGTCTATTAGCTCGTTCGGTAAAGTACAAAATATTGTGCTCTTTCGTTGGAGAAGTTCTGTTTGAGTCTCCAATGTGATCAGTTTTGCATGTTCTCTTTAGCAGCTTTTTGTGGGGAAAGAGATGAAAAGATGGTTGTTTGAACTTGACCACAAGTTTTGAGAAATTGTTTCTTGTTGGAATACATTATTATGCATGACAAAAGGAAGAATATAATTTTCTTTTTTGATCTAAGAACTGTATGGTTCTTTTTTCTCTGGTTGATTTAAAGGTAAACCCATATTTTTTTGTTGTTGCAGAACTTCTTCTTTTCAGTTGTTTCTGCTTGATAATGGCAACTAGTAAGTGTCATTTCAGCTTTCAGCATGTATAAGTATTTATATATAATCTTCTTTTGATTCGCTAAGATTGTCATAATATTTCGTTAATCTCATATGGTGATTTATGCGGGGCTTCAGTTTGAAAATTCATGTGAAGTTGGAGGCTTTTCCAACCTGACCAATGCTTACTGCTTGGTTGCAATTGGAGGGTCCGAAAACTTCTATAGGTGAGTGTCTTCTACGGTTTTCTTTTTGTATTCTAGATAATATGCTAAGGTTATATTGTCACCTTGCAGTGCTTTCGAGTCGGAGTTGGTAGATGTTATTCCAGTTGTTAAGACCTCTATTGCTGGCACTAGAATAATAGGACGGCTGTGTGCTGGTGAGAATTTTTTAAGGCTTTACCGATCTTATCTGTTAGATGCCTCTGACTTTGCTTATCCGAGCGTTCTTTGTCCGGCAGGAAATAAGAATGGGCTACTTGTCCCCCACAATACCACAGATCAAGGTAATTTTATGAGTTATCATGAAGAATGGTGACTTTCTTCTATTGTTATTATTACTGATTCGGATCTGAACTGTGGGATATTAAAACTTGAGGCTTTTAATCTCATTTTGTCCTACTTTTTGAAGTTTAAACTCAGTTTCTACTTTCTAACGTTAATGTTGGCTTATTCTTTCTTATCGAAGAACTTCAACACTTGCAGAATAGTCTACCGGATCAAGTTGTTGTTCAGCGCATAGAGGAGAAACTGTCTGCTCTGGGGAACTGTATCGCTTGCAATGATCATGTTGCTTTGTCACACACTGATCTAGACAAGGTAAACTTATATATGCCATACTAATAATTAATTAAATTATTACCAAGTGCGGTGAAGAGGACACCGTCTTTCCATTTTATTTGAAGGAGCAAGAACATGTTTGAACTCGCATCAAAATTATTGACACTATGACTCTTTCGTTGTGGGTCTTTAATCTTGGTTTGAAAAGATCCTTTAAAGATAGATACCTGAACATTGATCTTAAAGCCTGATGTTAAACTAAAGCTGTCGGTGCCTCTTTTGCTTCCGACTTCCGGGTAAGATGGCACGAGTATGAATGTGTTTCTTTTGCATCTTTATGATATTAAATCTGTTTGTGTGCAATTTGAATCAGGAAACTGAGTAGATAATTGCAGATGTTCTTGGTGTAGAAGTTTTCAGGCAGAAAATTGCCGGTAATATTCTCGTAGGGAGCTACTGTGCCTTTTCCAACAGAGGTGGCTTGGTAAGATTGCATCTCTTCTTTAAGAAACGATAATTACCTCGTATTTTCTCTTGAATTATAGGTATGCATGTATTCTGATTTTGGTTGTTGAAATGGTGCAAGGTCCATCCTCATACATCGATTGAGGACTTGGATGAGCTTTCGACGCTTCTTCAAGCTCCACTGGTGGCTGGTACCATCAATCGTGGGAGCGAAGTAATTGCTGCCGGGATGACCGTAAATGACTGGACGGCCTTTTGCGGGTCGGACACCACTGCAATGGAGCTATCCGTGATAGAGAGTGTGTGCAAGCTGACAGAAGCGCAGCCTACTGCCATTGTTGAGGAGATGAGGAAGTCATTGATTGATAGTTATGTTTTTTTTTTTGATGTTTGGGTTTTGCTTTTATGTCAATGCTATAGTACAATGTTTAATGTGATCTTATTACAAGTAATGAAATGACCATCCAGCTCAGTTGATAGAGCACAAGGCTCTTAATCTTGGGGTTGTGGGATCGAGTCCCACGGAGTCTCCTACGGAAGCTGCTCTCAACCTGTCGTTAGGGACATTTTACTATTCTGCCTCTCCCTTACCCCATTACATATAG